ATATTACTAATCAAAATGTAAGTTTTGATATATTTACAGTAGGACATTTACAAAATATCTTCATGGAACATGATCTTAATACTTAATATCCTAATGATTTTTGGCATAAAAAAATGATAATTTTGACCCACACAATGTATTGTTGGCTATTGCTACAAATATACCCGTGCAACTTATGACTGATTTTGTGGTCCAGAGTCACATACTGTATGTCTGTCAAACACTGAGCTGAATGTGGTGTAGAGCCTGTTTTGAACATCCATGACTTTGCGTTTATCAAATATGGTCTTTGAAATATAAACTCAGTTAATAGAAAGAATTCAGCTATGAGTCAGAGATAAAGTACATCCTTTAAAGTAGGTGGATAATATCTAAATCTTTTGAGTGAGTCTTCAGTGAACTGTAGCTTTAACTAAATTCAGTTAAAGGTATAGTTCTCTCAAAATGGAAAAAGTGGCTTTAAACCTTAAAAGTATAGTCTGTATGGCTGATGCACCTTTTTAAATTGTTCTGGAGCTTTGTGTGCCTATAAATATGCAAATATTTTAAATAATATAAATGAAATTGGAGAACTATGGCAGCTTAAATTTCATTCTGGCTTCAAAAGACCTGGGGCCTTATTTTAACGATCCAAGCGCATGGTCTAAAGCGCACAGTGCAGGTGCACTTAGGGCGTGTCCGAATCCACTTTTGCTAGTTTAACGATGGGAAAAACGGTCGGCGCGCCAGGCGCATGGTCTAAAAGGGTTGTCCCTATTCTCTTAAAGGAACATGCCACTATTTTTGAAAATAGTTTTCGTTTTCGAATCCATTCAGCCGATCTCCGGGTCTGGCAGTAGCACTTTTAGCTGCAGCTTAGCATAGATCATTGAATCTGATTAGATCGTTAGCATCTCGCGCAAGAATGACCAAAGAGTTTCGATATTTTTCCTATTTAAAACTTGACTCTTCTGTAGTTACATCGTGTACTAAGACCGACGGAAAATGAAAAGAAAGAATTTTCTAGGCCGATATGGCTAGGAACTATACTCTCATTCCGGCGTAATAATCAAGGAACTTTGCTGCCTTACCTTGGGTGCAGCAGGCGATACAATGATATTACGCAGCGCCTGAAAATAGTCCCCAGCTAGGTAACTTCCAATAAGCCTATTTTCAGGCGCTGCGTAATATCATTACGCCGGAATCGGCCTAGAAAATCGCAACTTTTCATTTTCCGTCGGTCTTAGTACACGATGTAACTACAGAAGAGTCAAGTTTTAAATAGAAAAAATATAAAAACTCTTTGGTCATTTTTGAGCAAGATGCTAACGGTCTAATCAGATTCAATGATCTATGCTAAGCTACAGCTAAAAGTGCTACCGCCAGACCCGGAGATTGGCTGAATGGATTCGAAAACGGTAAAACTCAACTGAGCCTAATTTCAAAAATAGTGGCATTCCTTTAATGAGTAATGGGTGTGTTTTGGGCATAACGTGCAATAAACCAATCAGAGTCTCATCTCCATCCCCTTTACGAGCCAGTTGCGCTTGTGCCATGGCGGATTTGCTATTTACATGACGGAATTTGCAAGCGCAAAGACAGAAGCTGGAGACAGCGTCTCCAGAGAGGAAACGGATCTGCTCGTGCGCGAGCAAATGGGTAGCCTAATTCTGATACATGCAATGACTATCCATTATGACATGTAGGCATTTTTATAGCCTACACAATAATAATCTTTTACATTGTAATCCTTTAATTTTTAATATTTGGCATGCTTGTGTGCTGCTGTGTGTCCCTGTGTGTGTAATAAGAAGAGTGTATGCGTGCTGTGGACCCACCTATACTAACACGCTCTTTAAATAACAAAAAAAACCCTACTGCGCCATTGACTTTAGACCAGGCTTTAGTTGGTCAATGGCGCAGTCTATTTTAGTTGCCTCAAAAATGCCACTCCGATTCACTGCAGGATTATGAGCTGAAGAGGGAGGAAGGGTCAGATAACCAATGACGTAAAAGAGGAAGAAGCCAATCCCTGATGCAAAAACATATTTATTGCATTTTTGGAGATAAAAAAAAAAAAACTGTGTCATAAAAGTATAGTTAATATTTTGAATATGTAAGTAATTCAATATTAGATATCAAATTACATTTTGCATAACTTTAACATTTCTGCCTCAATATACTTTGTTCCTTCACATATTTACGCCATCTTTGTGACTTTCAGACTTTTCTCATGCCCTCAGATGCTGAAATATAGCCTTAAGCTTGCTTGTTGATACACAAGCTTAGCAGCACTAATACAGCCTTGATGAACAAGACTAGATGTTGTTTCTGTATTATCATTGGCTAAATATTTCACCCTGTCTTGCACACAGGAAGTGGGGTGTGATAACAGGAAGTGCTTTGTCTCATTCAGCAAATAGCCAACTCCTATGCAGGCGAGCCAATTCTACTAAAGGAACTCATTCTCATTCTAAATAGGGGCATAATGTAGACTTCTACTGTTTTATATACAGCTAATTATAAACAACCTAATAGAAAACATTTGGCATTTTTACAAAAAAAAAAAAATTTATTCCCCCTCTAGGGAGACTTCCTTATATTAAATCTCAAACATTTTTCAAGTTTCAAAAGGTCAAAGGACAAGAAAAACAAACTGAACCACTGCACTAACAGGTGACTGAGTCCCGAAAAATGACAGATGTGAGTTTGCTTGTGAACTGTAACCTCATGAAGCACTCAAATACAAGGCTGACAACTGTTTTCTGCTGCTGTGTGTGAATGTGGACACACAGAAGCTTTTATTGATGTAATGGTTTACATGAAGTGTGCTGCACATGTACTGAAAAATTATGCCAAAATATTTTGGTTGCCCCCGATGGCTGATTTAGGTCTTAAACTCCGCCCTCTCCATGTAAACAAATGGAATGTGAACCAAAAAAAAAAAGAAAAAAAGATCAAATTACACCAGATTTTTCAAATAAAATTTTTCACAAAGTTTTATGTCATTTTATACACTTATTATTTTTTGACAAATAAACCATCTCTGTGAGTCCATATAATGTTAGTTTATAGCAATCCAAAAGTTGAAGTTTCAAAAACTACACAAAGCGATCCCAACAGTAACCAATATGACCCCAGATCAAGCAATAGGTGCATCCCAATATGCATACTTATGCCCTGTTCTAAGCCATTTTGTATGAGGTTTGTATTTACATATGGTTTAAAAGGTAATTTTTGTCATATGTAAGGAAAGCTGCAACAGTTGAGTGCATTACAAGTGCATAATCCAGGTATTCAACGTCCAGTTTCTTGTGGGAATTTTCAGAATTTGTTTACCTTCATGTCATGTGAACATTATCCAACATCAGAGAACGTAAACATGCACATTTGTTGTTAAATTATTGAACTCTTAAAATCTCAAATTCACTTAAAATCTCAAATTATTAGAACAAAACATGACTTAGCCGATTAATAAGCCTTTCAGACGAAAACCGCTTCAAATGTCCTTACAAGTCAGTTTTTTTGTTTTGTTTTTTAGCCATCACAAGTAAGCCGACGTTTTATTAGAAATACCTAGACAGAAATATTAAGTGATAATTCTCTACAAAAACATAGTTGTCATGACAACAGTGGAAACTGTGTAATGTAGTAATCATCCGGTGACTAATATATTTGCAGTCCAAAGTAAATTTGGTGTTTTCTATGTGACAGAAAACTGACGATAGCGAAAAGCAAATGTCTGGTCTCAGAGGAACCCAATAATTCTCTTTCTTTCACTGTTTTTGTAACTCCTCTCAAATAATCATTACCGTCTCAGAACAAAGTCGATAACAGCTAAGGAGTTGGCAGCCTTTTACTAACAGGAGGAAGCAATAAAATTTGGACCATTTGGTTTGACTGTCGCTACATGTCCTGTAATTTTTTTTTAATCACTGTTAATGGTTAGTGAAGAGAGCTTCAGTTTTTATCTTGTTTTCTCTTCAGACATGTTTCCTGATTGAATTGAGAATAGTGAAGCAGATATTGTGCAGAAAATTACGAGTCCAAGCAGGAAAAGGGCTTTAGGGGAGGGAAGCTCACCTGTGCTGGACAGGATGTTAGGTCATGTTCAGACAGATGGAGGATAACACAATTTTCCTCAGATTCAGTAGTGCTCAATGACCTGATATTCCACATACACTTACACACACAGCCATATTACCATGTGCTTAATGCTTACAGGTGAAGGTTATGTCAGTAGAGTCGAATATGAGCATAAGGTAATAATGAACTCTTGGGCAAATACAGTGTTTGATCAACTTTACAATCATCATGAGACCATGTGCTTTGGGAAATATGATCCCATCCTATGAAATGAATTGCTCTTTGAGAATAGTTTCTTTCTTGGAGAAAGAAAGTAATCTTTCTTGGATTAATCAGTCAACAAGTTAAAAACTCATTTTGGAGTCTAAGTGTTTTTCAAATATAATCCTATGAGTGTTTCCCATATGTAGACTAGACATGAGAGATAAACTGCTCTTGATATTATAGTTCTTAATGTCTCTCTGGGCTTATTGTACAAGTATGAATCACAAATTCACTCAAACACACACACACACACACACACACAAACACATTACGTAAGCAGTAACTTGATCAGCAAGTTCCAGTTTTACAGAATGGAAATCTACTGGATGCTATTTGCACACAAGTGCAAAAGCAGCAGCAACAAATCAAGTGCCAATCTGCCAAACCAACATTTAAATTATTTATTACAACAATTTGAAAAAAAAAAAAAAATCAATTTTAATGTGAAAAGCAGTACATTTTTGAAGTTATGACTAAAAAATATATAAGGCTTTATCAGGTTTGAATTATACATATATATATCTGATGATGCACGTGCATATCACTTCTGACAGCATGTTATCAGCAAGATAAGCTGCGGTCTGTTGATAAATTCTTTAATGAGAAAGAAAGCAAGAAGAGTTGTATATGATAAGAAATAGAAAAGGAAAGAAAAGAGGGAGAGAAGAGAGAAGCTGGTGGTATGTGGGATGCTGATTGTGGTTTGCTTGCATCAGTAAAGTTTATTTCTTTATCTCTTATTTAGATAAGCAGAGAGCGAGTTGCCACTGGGTGAAGTGGGAACAAGTCCACACGCGCTGTACCGCAAACACTCAAACACATGAAGCGTGTTGGACTGCAGTCAGTTCATGCAGTCAGTTTAGAGATTGTATCCTCCTGACTACCAGCTATGGAGTTTTGTCCTCTGTAGAGGACATAATGTTTTAGTGATTTCTCTGAGACGTTACATGTCACAGTTTCAAGTCTGGATGTCCTATACAGAGCACATTCAGGGCTTTTCAGAGATACCAAATGATTGGATGTTTCACCATGACCACTCCCTCTCCTTGGTCTTTAAAAACGGCTGACATTCATTTAGTGCTCAAGTGTAACACCCTTATGGAAATATGATAATAGTTTGTAATTATCATTTAAATCTGACTAATTTTCAAATTGTTTGTCTTTACACACATTTTGCATAAAGAAAATTTTTTTTTAAAAATATCTTTCTTAACATAGTTGAGAATCGTCTTTATATAAAGTTTGGTATAAAAAAATGAAAATTGATTTGTGATTAAAACAAAAATCCCACTGTTTTTGCCTTTTCATGTCTATTCATGTCTTTTTATTTCTTAAAAAACAGGACTTTTTAAAGTCCCGATGTCTTCTACAGAGTATGTGTAGAAATAATTAGTATGTGTTAAACGTGCATATAGTGTCAGCATGAATGTTAATGCTAAATGTTAAATGCTAATGTGCTCTAGAGAAATGCAGAATCTTTGTGAAACCTGTGTGTATTTGATGTTCAAAGTCCTCAAACGGCTTTTACTCAACGAAATCTCCAGGTATCTCTGGAAATCCCGCAGGCATCAACATGACATTTTGACAAGCAGCTTCTTTAGTGAGTTACTCAATGTATCATTCATGTCTCTTTAAGCTAAATGTAGCTAGCTTTAGCAGACAACTTGACAGTCTGGTTGTTGTTGATGTCCTGTAAGTCTCCAGTAATGTCTTTGAAGTATTTTACAGACCCAATTACAGTCCCTCAATTACCACCTTTGCTTTCTACTTTCCAAACACACATACAGTATGCAGTATAAACATACACAGAATCACAAGCACAATACACATACATACACACACTCACATTTTCTCCAGGGTTGAGTTGGTGATTACTGTTGTTTTTGGTTTGCCCAGGGGAGAATACTTGGCAACTGTCAAGACTTGTTCTACTAAAGCTTGTGTTAAAAACACACATGAAAGTCAGAGATGACAGGCATAATTAAAGCCATAATTTATTTTATGAGTGTTCTCTCTGCAAAGCACAAACTATGAAAGCCTGGGATCTTACCAAGGTCCTAAAATTATGCATGAAGCAAAAACAACAGATTTATTCAAAAAAAATTGACAGTCCCTTACTTTTTGCACCCTCCCTCTTTGTTTTTCTCCCTCACACCCATATGCACAAACACAATATAATCACACAGGGCTGTTTTAATAGACAAATGCATAGGGGAAAATGAGCAAATCAAAAGAAGGAAGGAGGGAACAGCAATGAACGGACAATTAAGGCCAGAGACAGAGGTACACCTGGGAAATGCCTGAAAGGTGACTTAGAATTTATCTCACAGCTACCAACACACGAATTTTCAAACACACACACACACACACACACACACATGCACTAAAAGTATGAGGGAGTTCAGTGTGCCATCTGTTTTGTTATCACTCTCAAATAATGTTCCTTATCTGTAAAGTGTCACAGAAGCACATACCGTTCTTCATATTTATACTACACCGGCCATTGCATTTAATTGCATAATACATTACATGTCTCACCATATCAGATATGGTCCTGTTTTATATCCAGCACATGAATTACTGTTAAAATGTACACTTATGACTTTAAAGTTATTTCGGAACATATTCTGGCCATTTATTACTAGGAAGTGCTTACAGGTGTTTCTCCTCATTTTTCCAGCTGATTACATTTTGCATGTTTACATACTTATTCCTTTCTCTTCCATCTTGCCAAATGATATATAGAACATTGCTGGAAACCAATATTCATTTCATGCATGTTAAAGTGTCTATTTGTAAACTGAAATTTCACAGCAATTCCTTTTTATTCTGCTGTCTGCAATCTAATCACTTCCAAACAGACCTGTGCGACAGTGTGTTAGAAACCACATGGTTTTGGTTCAAGAGGTCAAACTATAAATTCTCCCTATGGAATATTTTCCTTCAGCCAACCCACACAGATGCTCTGTAGTATGCCGTTTTACAGATGTCTGAAATAAATGTGTCCTGCTCGCCTGTCAAAATGAGTTATTATGTCGTCAGTCATTGTTTATTGTTGTAAAACAACATAGCTGTCATACTTATGACATACTGTAACAATGGCTGCCATAGTGAGTAGTTTTGTACTGTATATTCTTGTCACAATGTACTGTATTAAGTGATTTAGACTGTAGATTGGTTCTCTGCCTCATTTTTAGCTCTGGGCTCTAGACCCTTCTAACCATCAGATACATATAGATATATAAAGGGTGTGATTTGCATAGGGGGGATGGAGGGGATATCCCACCTTCTGGTCTACAGAATTATTTATTTATAACTGAGAAAATTTACCACCAATACATATTTCTTAACATCCATGAAACTGTAATTTGCTTTTTTTAATTGTAAATATTACATACATGTGGAGGTGCATTTTACAATCTTCATCTTCCAACAACAACATGCATTGGATTTCAAAACAGTCATGGTCTTCTGAATTGATAAAAGCCCTCAGTCTGAATTCCAATCAGACGACCCAGCTAAACAAAGTGAACTGCAATCATTTGACAACACCTGCCTTACATCCTTATCATTATCATAAAGACGTCAGAGAGCAGTTGCAAATACAGCATAGTTATGGGAACTTCAGCATCTTGGTGAATAGTAATTGCAGATACTTGTCAGCTTTTGTGCAACTGAATGTATCACCACAGAGGAAAAGGTACTGCATTGAGAGCTCTTTTTAAATGTCTAATGTTTAAAAAGCATGCCGTTCAACAACCTGCCAAAAAGTGTTGCCTTTCATTAGGTTTTCAGAGAGTTTGATTTTAACTTTGTCATGGGCAATTACTGAACTGGAATGAAGTAAACAATCGTTAATGGTGTCTCGAAAACATTAGTGTTTATGTCATCTTTATTAATTACTGGATTCAGTCAAAGAACTAAATCACACCTTTAACAAAAGTGTTGCTCTTCTACATATTATCAATGTATAGAAGCCCAGTGTGAGTGAATGGTGGACTTGACGTTTTTATACCTAAAAATTTTATAAAAAGTTGAGGGGACCTCAATTCTCCACATTTTTAAAATTATTTTGAGAAAGACATCAGTAAGAGCATGCATTTGCTCCAAAGTAAATGATTGATTATTCATAATGATTAAGCTCATAGTAGAGGTAAATGTATCTAAGAGTTCACAATTAATGTTATCAGCTATAAACAATTTCTTTTAAAATTGAACAGTTAAATTTGCCGCAGTCCAGTTTTTATTCATATGACTGTTTTTGAATAATTTCTTTAAAGAAAATCAGTATAAATGCTTTGTAATGTTGCACTTTATTCCAGCCATAGAGGGAATAAAAATATTCCTTCATTTTTTACTACGTCATAAGCACATTTTACTGAAACGTGCACTAATGATTGAAATCCCCAAGTCATCTCTATGGGCCATTCTGTAAAGCTTGTCTGAGTGAGCAATAACAAACAAGAAGGCTTGGTTGCATCAGGTGTTCATTCTACAAACACCATGTGAAGTTCAGAGAATAAAGTGCATTTGCTTGAATTGGTAGATTCTATGCTGAGAACAGTGAGAATAATCTCTCTCATGCCCACACACACATATATTCCCGTTCTCCCTCCCTAGGAATTGTTGTCATTTGGTATCTTTGATTTGGATTTCATGACCCGAGCACAGTCTGTAATGCAGGTCAATGAGTCAAGTGTGGGCTGAATACCACAGTCCCAGCATCCTTTAGCTCTGAAACAGTTCCCTGGTGACTTCCTCCCTCTCCCAACAGCATGGGAAGCATGAAGCGACAAGCTGCACCAGAAGAGAGGTGGAACACTGATAAGAAAAGACACTCACAGACGTATTTGAACATATGTGCACTGAGCAGCAGACAATATGAGACAGATGACAAGTGTAGTGTGCATACATGAACACTCACTCGAACACAAAGATGTGAGTAGGTCTTGATCACTGTCAGTCTAGTGTTCCTGTGTCTTGTGTTTCCCTCCCTCTTTTGCCCATTATTGGTCTTCCCGTTCCTGTCCCCATTATGTTTATTTGGTTCCAGCGGTGTTTGATTGATTAATTATCTAATTTGCCCATGACAGAACAGCTGACCTAAACTGAAAGTAAGTGTAAAGTAAACTTTTTTCCCCGTGTTTGTTTTCCGTTTTTTGAATAGTTTTTTGTTTTCCCATTTTTTCCCGCGGCAATGGAAGCAGCCGCTCGGTTCACCGCCCTAGCTCGTCTGGATCTCCCCTTCGTCGATATGGTCCTCACTGCAGAACACAAGATCCAGGGGGCGAGGTTGGATCCAGATCCAACTCCTCCCACCTTACATATACCCTAAACCCACCCATCTCCACCCCTAAACCTACCATCTCCACCCCCTAGATGTGGATCCAACCCCACCCCCTGGATCTTTGTTCTGCAGTGAGGGGTTACTGCCTTCATCGAGTATTCCTGGGAGTTCTGCAGGCTCACCGCGGCTACAGCGTTAGACGACGGCACGCTAAACTCGCTGTTCTGGCACGGGGCCAATTACCATCGCCCCGTGGACCTCTAAGACACCACGGGACTAAGCTGGAGGGAAGGGATCCTCCGGTGTCTGGAGAGCGTCCGGCCCCGAGCCAGAACCAGCCCACCGGCCGCGGCATCCTCAAGCCTGCCGCTGTCTCAAGCCCGCTGGCTGTTCCT